AAATAAAATGATCAAAGACATAAAATTCAATGTAACAGTCAGCAGAATAAAGAAAAAACATATGTGATCCTCTCAAGTGGTGCAGAAAGGAAATTTGGCAAAAGTCAATACACTTTCATTATAAACATACAAAAAATTTAAACAAGCATGGAAATTTTCTCAAATAACAAAAATCATCTATAAAAATCCACCTCAAATTTCATATTCAATAACTCAAAAGAGGTTTTCCTCTAATGATCATGAAGCAGACAAGGATACCTGCATCAACATTTTCACTCAGGATAGTGTTGCCAGTTTTAGCCACAGACATGAAAAAAGAAAAGTAATTCAAATTAAAGAAAGAAGTTAACTTTACTTCTTTTCACAGATGGAATAACCTTACATATAAAAGTTACTGAAGATTCCAAACACATATGAGTGTGCCCATGTACACATGTACAGATATACCCCCCACAAACACACACATACTCATATAACCAATCAATTAAGTCAGGCAAATATCTAAAACTCAAATTCTATATGCAAACAACAGTTGGGTTTCAATAACATCAAGGAATAACTTGAAAATGATATTAGGCAAATAATTCATAAATAATAGCCTCAAAAAATAATTTGGAATAAACTTAACCAAAAAGGTACAAGAACAGTACATGGAATACTACAAATTGTTGCTCACAAAGATTCGAGAGGATGATGAATAAATGGAAAGACATACCATGTTCATGGAAGCCTTCATATGTACTTATCGGCGTAATTTACAATGACCAAAAAGGGCAAGCAACACAACTTTGCCTCAAGAGATGTGTGAACTTTAGCATGGATGGACCATAGCAGCATGGGCTTCCATGGAATAAGCCAAACACAGTAGGCAGATACTGGAGGGACCCAAGTATGTGAGTCAGGTTATGGTCAGGTTTGCAGACTCCAAAAGCAGAACCGCTTACTACAGGTCAGGGCTGGTGACAAAGGGAAGGTTACTTTTTAATAGAAACACTACCAGTTTGAGATGTTGAAAAAGTATTTAAGATTGTAGTTATGGCTGCACAACTATGTGCCTATTGTGAGTAAGTTGTACACTCAAAAGTGTGACAATAGTGAATTTTATATTCTGAATATTTTCAATTACTTTTATGATATAATGAAACACTAAGAAAACAATACTGACAAAAAGTTTCAAATGAGGAATTCTTAAGACTTGAGACTTGTAGTTGGCCCAAATCACTGGAAAACTGCTCAGAATTAGTGATCAAAAGAATGCAAATAAAAATCCTACTGAAACACCACAACTTACCTGGCATTAATGATCAAAAATTTTAAATCTACCAATATGAATTTCTGACAAAGTTATGAAATAACTGTAACATACACACCTGGTAAGAGAGGAAAACAATTACACAAGTTAAAATGATTGTCAAACCCATTAAAGTCCTAAAAATATCTGTGCAGAATTTTGGCATTTTTTCTTAATATCTTTAAAAATTCATAATGATTTTACCATTCTTGCAATTAGTAAAAATTTATAGTATTTTTGTGACAGTGAAGT